GCTTTTGTTTCTCTTTGCTCTTTCACTTTCATCACAGTCTGCCTTTGTTGTTTTTATTCCTATAATACTTATGCCATTGTTGATGGGATTCCTTTATGGTTTGATTGAATGATTGTTTTTCCTCATTACACTATGAGTATGCTTCCCTTTTTCCCTGGCTGGTTGTTAGGCAGTCATCTCAACCCAAAATTGTGTCATTTCTAATTTACTTTTCTCCTTTTGGTGATGCATAGAAAACCAACACCCATGAATAAGAGTTGAGTGTTCATATAGAACACTAGCATCACACCATCATATGATCCAATGGTAAAGATCTATTGATGATCATCTACAAATTTTATTCCCAATATAATGCTTTTTTGAAATTGGATGGGTATCTCAAAGATTTTATTCCCTACTTTTTTCAATGGTTATCTCATGCTTTTGAAATGGGCATCCCCCGTTAAGTTATAATTTTTAGTTGTGAATTCGAATCTCACTAAAATCAATGATAATGAGGTTATATAAAAGTGAACAACTCTTATCACGCTTCTAATAGCTGTGCACCAGTATTTGGTCATGTCTGTTGAGCCATTGAATCACCGTGATTTACATCTTTCCAGATGCTCTGTCGGGTTGAAGCGTGAGGGTCGTTGAGATTGGGAATTCAACCTGTTAGGAACAACAAGTATATTCATATTTAATAATAATGATATAAATGACCAGCTTGGTTGGCGTAAGTAGTTGTGCACTCTTGTCCTTTAATATAGGTCGGACAATCGTTATGTTGTGCAACCGTGTGCACCATGCATGGTGCACACGGTTGCAAAAATGACGTCGTTTTGACTAAAAACTTGTGTCCCACTTAAAAAAAATTCAGTGTCGATTCCCGTCAACAACATTATGTTGTTCATTCATTATGGATTTTTAGTTCACTCATTATGGATTTTTAGTTCATTCATTCTGGATATTTAGTTCATTCATTCTGGATTTTAGTTCATTCATTCTAAATATTTAGTTTATTCATTCTGGATATTTAGTTCATTCATTCTGGATATTTAGACGGAAATCGAAACTGATTTTTTTTTTTCATTCATGCTGGATTTTTAGTTCATTCATTCTGGATTTTTAGTTCATTCATTCTGGATTTTTAGTTCATGCATTATGGATATTTAGTTCATGCATTCTGGATATATAGTTCAAATTATGCACAATATAATGCTGTTGCCGGGAATTGAAACTGAATTTTTTTTTTAAGTGGACGCGCGTTTTTAGTCAAAACGAAATCGTTTTTGCATCCGTGTGCACCATGCACACGGATGCACATCATAATTTGCCATAGGTCAGGAGTTCGAACGCCCGCTCGTATAGGAAAACTAATATGGCCAGCACTTTGCCCTTTAATTGGACTGACACGGAAATTAGTCTGGTATGGTATGGGCTTAAAGATACCTCTTACAGTTAGGACCAATTTGGGTCTGCTCAAGACACCTCGTGCCGTGGAAAAAAAATGATATAAATATGGTTTGAACATACATGTGGAATGAAAGAGATGGGGAAAGCAAAGGTGCTTAAGTCAAAGGAAGAATACTTAAGCTTGTAGTAGTTCTCTGAATTAATTTGGGTAGGGCGGGCCACAATACCTGGCGTCTTAATGGGAGTGAAATTTGCAAATTCAGTCCCCCCTTAGACGGGTTAGGCTAAAACCTCCGCGTCAACCGCCTCTTTTTCTGTTTATTTCTTTTTCAAATAATCCACTCAAAATTCTTAATGCATTAAATTGTATTCTAATTCAGAATTGAATTATTATCACAAGTCAGTTTAGAGTCATTCTTACGTATCAAATGGGTCTAGAAAAATGTATAATTACTATGAGAGTGTATACTTAATAAAATTTACTTCACCTATGCAATTGTATGTAAACCACAAAATAATATAAAAAAAAAAGATATAAAGCACATTAAGAAAGGCATATGGTGATGGCTTGATCGAGAGAGTATTAGTAAAAATACCTTGTATTTTAATTAAATTTTGTGTATGTAACTTGAACCAAATTCGAACTAATATAATAGTATTAGAGATACGATACTACACACACAAAACTATTTGTATGAGAGAATTTTCATAACATCTATTAATTTTTATTTTTTTTTTTATATAAAGTTAAGCTAATTATAGTTCTATTTTTTTTTTACTATTGTCTTTTTTAAATTTTAGCATTTGAGTTCAAAATCAATCAAATTGCATTTGACGATTAACTATTAAAAATGTCATTTTAATTATCGGGTATCACGTTTTCAATAGTCAGAGATCAAATTTGATCAATTTTTAACTCTAAAATCAAAAGAGGGAGAAGAGAGATAGATAATTGAGAGATTAAAACAAGAATTACCCATATATAAAGTTTTTTATTTTTTATCTTTTTCTAGAAACTCAATACCTTGTGATTAAATTAGGTTTAGTTGACTTAGAATTGAACTACGTACTACCAAACCTTATATGAGATATAACTCTTTGTCCTTTGATACTCGTTGCTTATTTACAATATTGAAATTAGATATTTCATATGTAAAAATAAATAAATAATAATAATAATAAACTTACTTCATTTAAACCGTGACAACAATATAATATAATATAAAAAAATACATTTGTCCCTTAATTATACCGTATCACTTTTCATCCTTTAGGTGTTCAAAAAGTGACTTTTATCTTCTTTTTTTTTTTGAATTGTTTGTGAATTGATTTTAACTAACCCAACTCTTTTTTGAAATTTTTATCATTCTTTACAATGTAGTATTTGTTCTATACTTTTTCAAATATTTTCAGTACAAAGAATCTAAACCTCACCACTAAGATTCGAACCTAAGACCATCCATTTAGAATAATAACCGGGGTCCTAACCCAACTCTAATAGAACTCAATAATGAAAGAAACTACTTCACAATCGATTGAGGAACAAAAATTACTATATTTTTATAATTTAAAAAAAAAAATCATTTTCTCTATAATCTAATAAATAAATTATATTTTTTTTACAATTTCATGTATTTTACCGGACATACATTAGAAAAAATACAATTTACAAAGTGTAAAATACAACTTTATATAAATCCTAATATGTTACGGAGTATAATCCACACAGTTATAAAAAATTTCCCATTTACTATTTGCACTTGATAGATGTCATAATGATGCTAGGATGATCAAACACATTATGGGGACCTTCAATGGAGTACTTTTTTTCTTTTTTTTTTTTCAACTTTTGCCTTTTGGGTTTGTTAGCTCATTGCACCAATCACTCCCCTCAATGTTGGTTTAAATTTCTATGCATTTCCATCTTTTGTGGACCACTTTATTTATTTAATTTGCCTAAAATATTAGACCTTTTTCTTCACACGATGTTGCTAATGTACATTTATGCGCACAAGAGATCTTTATCACTATTAATTGATCTCTTAATGCTTCCTCATATTTCTAGTAGGATTCAAATTTTATCCTGAAAACAAGATTAAATATTACAGAGTATTCCCAAAAGGCCAAAAGGTTGAATCTCCAACCTTAAGGGCTTCTCACACCCCGGCACGACAGAGTATCTGAGAGAATGTAAATCATGGTAATTCAACTGACTTTTGCTTGCTGCGCATAAGGAGCCCCTTCACTTTGAGAGGTTGCTACCACACTGTGACTGGTGAAACTCGATCCCGGGTCATTGTTCCCAAACTTTACATCTGTGATCAATTGAGCTGTCCATGCGGGCACAAGCAATACTAAATATTGATTAGACAATCACTTGAACTACCTCAGTGGAGCATTGGATGACGAGGGAAACTTGCATAACTTGGGGATATACACCGGAACCTTGTTCTTGTGTAATAGCCTGAAAATCATACTACGAAAACCGTGAGCTCAACTGAAAAAGTGTTGGCAAAAATCAAACTTATAATTTTTTAATAAGAAAATTATGTTACACCAGTTGAGCCATTCCTTTTGAGCAATATTATATCTTTTTGCCATGGTTCACCAACTCACTAAATTATCCCAAACTTAGCTTGTGAAATAAATATGATGATAGATGATAGATGATAGATGATAGATGATAGATGATATATGTGGGCTTCAAAATTCAAATCCAGCCGTGTATACATTAATTTTACGTACCACCTTTTTTATGAATACATTATATTGTTGCAGTACCATAGTGCACTTATATCTACTGGTCTAATTTTCTTGACCACACACTGCTCTCCAACTTGCACAAAAATTTATTGATTCCCAACTGCTCCTTATATGTTTCAACGAGATTTACCACCATTTTATAATATATCACTACATTAATTATTTTCTTGACTCGCCGTATTCTTGGTTGAAGCTTGATCGAGTTTAAAAATTTACACTCAAATTTAATTTAATAATTTTATACAACTCAGACTCGGTTTGATTAGTTTTAATTGCATTTAAGCTAAGTACAAACAATAACTATATATATGGATGCGCGTGGCTAATAGACATCTCGACGAGTTATGAGCTAAAAAAAATTAACTGAGTGGATCGAGTTGTATGTGTGCAAACGTAAATAGAATCGAGTTAATTATAGTTTTAGTTCTTCAACTATTTAGTTTAATTTGTTTCACTTTTCAATTTTAAAATTCAATATAATTGATACTTAACTTTATCAAAAGGCGTTGATTTAAATACGAAGGGTTTAGGTTCTTTAAAGGAATTGACCCCTTAGAAATCAGTTGAAACTTGATTTGATTAGATTAGTTTCACCAAAATCCAAATACCAATAGACTATTCGCCCGCGCACCAAAAAAAAATAAAATGATCTTTTAGTCCCTAAAAACTAAATTTAGCACCAAATTTGGTACCCAACTAGGACAAAAAGACAAGTTTTCAAAAATCAAGTTCAATTTTGAAGTGAAGATAAAAGCTAAGTAAAACAAGTTAGATTGAGACTGAAAACCGAATTAACTCAATAGGATCATATCGTTTTCGTTATATAATTAAAATGAAGTTGATTGAAGAATGAAGTATTATTTGAATTTAATTAGTATAATAGCCATGGCTGACAAGATCTTGTATAACACGTACAACAAGTTAGAACCTCAACTCCATTACAAGATTCCGATCACAGCACTGTGAATGTTCTAAATTTTTTTCTAAAAAATGAAAAAGTTTTGATCTTGAAAATTTATTATAATAACACAGCAGAATTATCGTCTAAATCAAAGCACTAATCCAAAAATTCCGACAACTGTAAAGAATGCGTGTAGATTCATGTTACTTTTCCAGTTTCTGGAAGCGCCGCCGGCGTCGTTGCCGGTGGTCTGCCCGGAAGCAGGGGAGATCGCAGTCTTTTTGCCGTCGCCGCCGGGGGCGGCGGCGGTGGGTGCCGGAGAAGGAGCCTTGGAGATGGTGTTTCCGGCCGCCGTCAGGTCCAATGTGGATTTAGCGTCGAGATTTTCCTGACTCATTTGGTGCTTCTGCGGCACTCCGTCCTTGACGGACGCGCCCACCTGCCAAACATGGTTCACCGTCGCCATTTTTTCCGGCAGCTCCACGGTGGCGAAAATTCTCATCACCCCGTCCGCCGCCGCCTCCGCCCGGGAGTCCAGCACCTTCAGGGAGAGCTTCTGCGGGGTTATGCCGCCGTAGGAGGTGAGATTGTAAGTTTTCACGGCGACTTTGCCCTGTGGGTCCTTGAAGGCGATGAAGGCCTGCGTGCCGATCATGCCGGTGGCGGTGGGGTTAATGCCCCAGGCGATCCACCCGTCGGCGGCGGCCGGCGGCGCCACGAAGGCGACGGAGAGGGTGGATTTCGTCTGGTTATATGTCCAGTGGAGGAAAGCCTTGAGGGTGGGGAGGTCGGAGCAGTTGGCGTAGTGAGCTTTCGTCGAGAAAGTCTGCGACGTGCACTGTAGCGACACCGCCGGCGAGATTAGCAGAGCTCCGAGGAGGAGGAGGAGGCTGAGGAGGGGAGAAAAGGAGGACATTGTGCGTTTTGCGACGCCGCAGGCGGTGGCTGACAACGGCCGTGTAGGTGGCGGTGTAGATAATATGATAAGAGTTGTTGCCACGGAGCTTTGATTTTTATAGGGGGATGGAGGATTGATTTTTCTTTTTTATTAGTACGTGAAATGTTCTGAGTAGCTCTTAACTGTAAAGATATCTTTAAATCTGTATTATATTTAGATTAATTTTGATTCGTATTTGGTCAGTTCAATTAAGAAACAAAGTGTTTGACAGATTTTTTTTTCATATATAATGAGGGTTTTTTTCATATCAAATACTCACACAAACCAAGTTTATTTGGAAGAGTGATATTTTGGATTATGTGTGTGGATTATGTGTGGGCAGTTGCATGGGGCAATGTGTGAAGCAACGTGATTTAGGTAGCCAATAGGAAGCTTCCAAGTGGACATCAATACATACATAGACAAACTCCCAACAATATGAAGTTAAAACTTATTCCTATAATATTTTGTAATAATTAATAATCCCATTTGCTTCAAATCTCTCATGAAAGTGGGTTAAATCAAAGTAAATATAATAGTCCACTCGAAAGAAGTGATCGAATAGGTGAAACATACACAATTATTATATTAGAAGGTCATAAATTTAGTTCAACTAATACTCTCATTATACTAGAAGACTAATTTATCCTACTATCTATATTCTATGATGCTTAGAATTTCATAAACAAATATTTTAGTATTTGAGATTTCCATTGTAATTAGGTTGCCTACTTGCATGTGTGGGTACGGTGTCCTCTAAAATACTCAATGAGTATCTTTAAATTATATAATTTATGCTCGAACTTAACGTAGTTAGTTCGTCACCAGACTTAAAGGTCATGACGGGAACCAGTAGTGTGATCAAGTATGACGGAAGGTCGTCTAGATTGGATTCTTTATGTTTACATGAAGACTATAATTTGACTTATGAACTGATTGTACGACTCACGATTTATCTTCGTAGTCCAGTAAATCTAAGATCACCTGAATTTTTTTTTAAAACCTTTATAATTCATTAAAAATAAGTAAATAAAGAATAAAATATAGTTATGTATCAAGCCATGTCGGTTTAAGTGTATATTTTTAATGCTCACTCTCATTATTATATTCATCATCACATGACTCGTTACGTTACCCAAATTAAGTTGAGTTTAAGTAAATACTTATGAATCTAAATCATATTATATTGCTATTCATTCTCACATGTGATACTCTAGTCAACTTTGTGTCTAACATAATTTTTTATGGTGAAGAGGGAAACTGCCTACATTCTTTGAATATGTGTACATTATATAAAATTTACTCATGTGTAATAGTCACAAATTACATGTTTAATATATTTTTTTTATGTAACGAGAGAAACTCATAGTCACTATTTAAATGTGTACATTAGGTAAACTATTCTCCTCTTGTGTAATAATCGCAAATCACATATGTATGTATAACGTAATATTTTTTTTTTTTTTTTGTGGCGTGAGAAACTCGCAACCACTATCCAAGAATGTGTACTAGGTAAACCAAACTCATGTGTAATAGTCTAAAACCGCAAATGTCCTACATAATTTTCTAGCATGATGCAAATTAAATATTTTTGTTTTTATATTGTAAAAAGATGAAATTGCAATATGAATAGAAAGAAATGGTAGACTAAGCACAAGTGAAGCAACCCACTTAACTTTAGGAGAGTCAAACAAATCTGCAATGGGGACAAACCAAACTTAGACCAAATGGTAGCAAAGTCAATTCCAAAGAAGAAAAAGAAGTAGAGAATGGAAGAAGCTTTCATATTCTTCTTTCTCAACTACCAGCCTTCACACCCAATTAAGAAGAAACTTCATGGTTTTCACCTCTTCTCTCATAAATTGCCATTTTCATTTGTGTGTAGTTAACCAATTACTCATCAAACTTTATTGTCTAACCTATTAGCAGCATTTAGGCAATGGTATAATGGATCGGACCATGTTCGAGTTTATTATCTTAACTTATAAAATTTAGATAAAAAAAAGTGTTGGGCTGCGACTTGGAGAGTCGAGTCCAGTATCCTGCTATCGAATAATGGCGTTGATTGCTACATAAGTATAAGGAAATAAAGTTCCATCTTCGCTACTAGCTATAACTTTTGATGTTGTGGTAAGCGTTTGATCCTACAATTGGTATCAGAACACAGTTAAAACTAGCTTTTGGCATAGGGGTGTTATATCTTTTTAATCAAGAGATGTTATCCAATCCACTTCTACTATCATGTTACACACTTTACGCATGATAACATTTAACAAGACAACCCTATTAGTAGTTGCATGCTAGAAAAAGGACCATATATTAAGGAGCTTGTCTTAATGTAACATGATGACCAACATGCTTTTGGCATTTTGAATGGTGCATCCTTAGCTATATAAAATGTCATTAGCCTTGATGGTTCTTCTCACACTCTTTTCACCACAATTCTATTAGATTAACTATTAAGTTTCATTGTATATTTGTATTCTCAATTTATTCATGAAGAAATACTTTTAAAAAAAAAAATCTTTGTGAGTAGTAACTGGAAGTTTATCCTGTGCACACCATCAAATAATAATTATATATTTTTTTCGTCACAATTTATCCCGTCACGCATGATTTTCCTAGTGCAATTTACTTATCATGTGTTGTTTGCAAGTTATTACACTGAAATGCTATTTATCTCATGTACATTGTAGTGATTGCAGGTTCCCTCGTCATGTTGATATATAGATAATAGTGCATTTGAATTCAAAAAAGATGAATTTTATTATTTTTTTGAGAACAACAAAGATGAATTTAATTTTGTGTGAATTGAATGAACACAATGTATTAGGTGGTGAGATGTTAGGTAAATGCGTTAAATAAACAATAACTCGTTAGGTAATGGGTTGCTGGTGTTAATGTACTACAAGTAATATAGTAATAGGCAGCCTGAGCACCGCAGTATTAATTCTTGGAGTTGTACTATACACTCATTTTTACCACTTTTTGGTAAATGGTAATCCCTAGATGTCACACCACACAATTACCTGCACCATACACTATAGTGAATGAGTATTTAATGAGACGAGTATAGTACTATATATATTGATCCAACATAGGTTGCATTCAAGCCACCTTAAAGTTTCAACGTTAAGCTTAAGGGCTACTCACTGCTTCTGTTTTTAGAGAGGGGTAACACAGATAAATCGTAAAATTTGAGCATATAGGCCCCAAATGCTTGTATATTAGTGCTCACAATAAAGCTAAATTCATTTTTTTTTTTTGGGGAGAAATGACACCGCACCTGCGGCGATTATCTAATCCTTCTAAATCTTGCTCCTCCCGCGTCAGCTTAGAGGATTTCGCTCATCCCTTCTAGTGTGTCTTCAAGATCTTAGTCCCCCAAGTAGCCGATTGTCCAAGGCTGGTTAGATAATCAGCACACTTAGCTTGTTTCATTCCCTCAACACACGAGTGAACACCACACAGTCATAGCTTTTGGCAAGGAACTTACAATCCATGATGAGGGAGGAAATCAAATCCCCATGTAATTCTCGTTCATAACCTCAACAATAGCTTCAGAATCGAGCTCATTGTGAAGTTTATGAAACCCCTTTCTCTACCGAGTCGTAAACCATCTCTTAAGCCCCACAGTTCGGTAGAGAAACTGTCTATGTTACCCACATTCACAATGAATCCCACGATCCAATTACCAAGATGATCACGAAAAATATATACCCCCAGCACTCATGAGCCTAGAAAACCCCCTTATTGACCCATCAGTGTTGAGTTTAATCCAACCTACATAGATTTTCCTCCTCTAATATCCTTCCTTTTAGTAAGAAAACAAGCGGCCTCGTTGGCAAGAGTCATTGCAGTAGCAACCACTTGGTTCAGCTCAAAAAAGGCTCACATTAAAGACAAGATTATTTATAGTGACTGATTGTACGTCAAGTTCATATTTAGTCATAGTCTTTTAAAATTATTACATTTAGTTTCATATTTTTCATTTTTAACCTTTTGTTTGCGTATTATGAACTCACCGCCAAGTGTAATGACAATATTATACTTTGTCGGTTATGGTCACAAGGCAGAGTTTATCCAGTATATACCATCGGGTGCGAGTCCTCTAAACCTACAAAAATATTGTAATTTTTATCTCTCTAAAACCTCTCTCCCTTCAACGTTTTTGGCTTCAGTCTCAGTCCTCTTCTACATTGTGGGCCTCCCCCTTCAGGCCCATTCTCATTCTCAAATAAGGCCCACGCTTATACTACCAAAATTCAGTTTATTTGGACAAATGGCTCTTTTATTCTGAATTAATTACGGAATCAATAAGCAAGGCCCAACAAGGGTTTTCTTAACCTAAAGCCCACGGCCCATGTTAATTCTCAACAGTTGAAAGAAGGTCGTTATGGAGGAACTAAACCCTAGCAGCTCATCTTCTTTTATTCTCCTCAGTTCTCTCGCTTCCCATCCGGTACTCTCCGCGGCGTCGCAACCAGGTACGAATTCTCCCTCTCTCTCGTTTGAATCTTCGTCAATTTGTACTTCAACATATGTAGCTGTAGCTTAGGCTAGCATGAATTCATGGCATTGTTTGTTTGTCTGCCGATTCTGGTTTGTTTTCACTGAATATTGTATGACGATTAGGATCTATATGCTTCGTAGTCCGACTCTTTGCTATAAGGGAGATTTTTTTTCTTTTCTGGTCATTTTGAGCTATGTTTTCTTCATGTGTTGTATATTTATGTCTGCCGGAATGTAAAAATTGTTTTGTTGTTGTTGTTGTTGTTTCCAAAATTATTCATTGAGAAGTTTCTGGACTTGAAGAGAACATCAGTGGCTCTTCAAAGCTTTCTGATTTCAGTTTTTTCACTTGATATGGAATTGATAAGAATATTTGATTGTGGTATTGAAGTTATATGTAGAGTGTTTGGTTTTTTGGTGGTTTCTTTTATTGTTGTACAGAGTTGGTTATCTTTTTCTTTTTGCAATTTAGAACAATGGCGGTTCCATTGCTTGACAAGAAGATTGTGAAGAAGCGGGTCAAGAAGTTCAAGAGGCCGCAG